CTCTTGGAAGAGAGACGAAACGTTTCATTAGAGAAGAACCCGTCCAGAAGACCTATACAATTTTTTTCCTTTTTATTTGGTTTATTGTTTGAAATTAACATTTTTTGTAAATAGGAGTAGAAATCAAGATCTTTTTCTTCTGTTGCTGCCTTTAATTTTATTTTATTTGTATTGTTTTGTTGTATGTAATGTTTTGTTTTTTAAAATGAAATGAATAAATACCATAAACTAAAAAAAAGATCTGTGACAGGGTCACAGATCATTTTTTTGTAAAGGAACAGGGTAGAATTTATAACCCACACATTTTATTTTGTAGGCCAAAACTGAGCTTCCTCTGCTTGAAAGACCAGCATCCACCACTGGATTCCAGACTTTCAAAGTAAAATAAAACAGATAGACACAAAAAGCCTCATGGAACAAACTTTGCAACTAGCAAATCAAATGCTAACAGTTGATGACATTCAACTTTCCAAAACACCAGCAAAATTGGCGTTCATCATGGAAGCTAAATTGAGATTGACAAGATCTCAATTAAAGAAATCTTATCTATGCTTAAAAACAAAGKATGCCAAAATAAATAAACAAGATTCAGAAAGAAACAAATAGCTGGAAGATTTCAGAACAGTTTCTACTAACTTTGAAGTTGTACAGATCAGGAAAACTCATTTACAGGAGGAACTGCAAAAAGAATGGCAGTCCAACTCACTCCTCAGATCTGAAAACCAAAAGCTTCAGGGTGATCTGGAAGCTGAGAACGCAACAAGAAATCAAGATCTCCTGAAACAGAGAAAAGCAATCCAAGATGGACAACTAAACATCTCACAAATGAAAATTGTTTGTCAACAACACACTGAACAGATTGAAATAAACAAGAAACTCATGACTGAGCTTGAAAATGACCTTATCCTGACCAATCAGGAAAAGGAAAGTTYAAAACAAGAAAATGAGACGTATGACAACGAAAAACAAAAAAATCWAAWTTTACAAGACAAACTCTCTGAAATAGAGAAATACGTACTCCAAAAAGATGCAGATCTCTCAAATCTCAAGAGTCARCTTGAAACAATACAAACAGGGAAAAACTCTCTTCAAATACACTCACATTAAAGACAGAACAACGTGACAGCAAAATCACCTTCTTAAAACATCAGCTCGCTGAAAAAGATGAACAAATAAAATGCTTGGGGTCTGCACGACCCTCAGGTATGCCTCAATCAGAGGACCTTACAGAAAAGTGGGGGTCAACAGGTGGGGAGCCACCAGATAAAGGCCCTACCCAACCTAAAAGGCATGAGCCTACAACTCAAACAGAGCTGAACAGTGTCACRACCCCTGCTCCCATCAGAGCAGAGACCAGCCGACTGACTGGAACCTGGACAAAGTGGCTAAACTGGTAACRCCACTTGACCCAATACCTGGACGTCAAAACAACATTACAGGTTATCTAAGTGACATTGAGTTTAATCTCAGATGTTTTCAAAACGTGACGACTGATCACAGACTATAATCAGATGTACTTCAACCAAAGTGGTACGGGATTTTATTGATCGTCAGACAAGCCACGTTAAACAGGACTACAAGATGTGCATAGCATTGGAAAAGATGTTGTCTAATGATGATAAATGCAGAAGGAATGTAGCCCTTAAAATAAAACAARATCTACGWGAACACCCTGATCAGTTTTAYTATAAACTGCTTGAAACTTTCTTCGGTTCAAGAAA